CAGGCCCGTCTCCAGCAACGTGCTGGGACATGTGTCTCAATGGGGGCTCTTGATCCCAGTCCCTGGGCTGAGCTGCAGGTGTCTGGAGCCATTCCCACAACAGGCATCTGCCCTTTGTGGCTTCCTCACTCCGGTTCCACCTTCCTCCTCCTCCTCACCCTTCCTGCCCCTCATGCTCCAAGCTGCTCCCTCCGTTCTGGCTTTCCGGTGACTGCAAACAATGTCCTTATTCACTCAGTGGCTGGGATTTGGCGGCGAGGGGAAGGCCTGGGAGCAGAGGAGGAGGAAGGAGAGAGGCAGAGAAGTGAGTGTGCCTGTCCTGGGCCAGCTGTCCAGCTGTGGTTAAAGGTGCTCTGTGGTGCAGTCTGCCTCTCTGCTCCCCCAGTTTCCTATGGGAATGAGGGCTGTGCACTCCTGCGGTTTGTCCACCTGCCCTGCTGTAGTACCCTCCAAACCCACAGGCAGTTTCAGCTGAGTTTATTGGGGATTAGCATCCTGCAAGCATTCCACAGGTCAGTGTGTGGGCACTCGGTTGCTCTTGCAAGGTGAATGGCCCTGAAGGATGCACAGTGCATATTAGACATCAGAGAAGCTGCACAGGCTCCATTTGCCCTATGAACACAGTAAGGCTTTTCACTGCTCCAGCTCTTGTTTAAAACCACAGCAGCTCAGCAGGTCATGGGGCACCGCTCTGCCTCTGGTGAAGCTGCCAGGCTCCTTCCTGATGCTGCTGGGAGTTGGGCAGGGGCTGGTGAGCACTCGAGCCCCCAGGGAAGGGGTCCCAGAGGCTCTCCCCTGCCAGCTCTCCCTGGAAGGCACACAAGGGCCCTGACCAGCGTCAGAGAACACAAGACCTTGGGGCATGTCATGGGATTTTGCTGCCCAGTGCTGGCCCCAGGGCAATGGGCTTCTGAGGGCTGCAAAGGGAGGATGAGGGGAGTGCTGAGCCTCAGGCAGGGCAGGGCTATAATCTACTGTTACTGTGGGCTCAGCAGTGACCACTGGCTTAGCTCTGCCCTTTGGGAGAGGATAGCGTTGAGACCAGCCTAAGACAAGTCAGGGGAGACATCTTGCCCACAGATTGCTCCCTGCCTGAGAGGTCTTGGGTGGGTGTGAGCCCCTTCCTACGCGCCAGTGCCCCCATTTACAGTGGAGGTTTTCCCAGCTAGTTGAGCTGCACCTGTGTGCGTAACACATCTGAGGCTTGTGGTGCTGCAGCCATGCAGTGGCTCTCGGATGAGAAGCATAGATGCCCTTTATCATCAGAGCTGTTAAACTCTTTATTATTATCTTCCTGTCTTGTGGCTGCAGGCATTTAATGTTGCAGAAGTTCTCTGTTGGGACTGCCTTGTCCCCCAGCAGACAAATCCCCTTGCTCTGCCTGGCAGGGTGGATATGTCCCATGCTGGGGCAGCCACTGAGTTCAGCACATAGTCTGTGGGGACTGAGCAGGAGGTGCAGTAAGGTGCAGGCAGGTGAGTGTGGTTTCCTTGGTGGTGGTTTCCTCCCAGCAAGTGCTGTGGGTAGCAATGGTCAGCAAAGCCTTCCCCCAGCACAATCCCACGGGGACCAGCTGTGTGCATCCTCTCTGCAACAAGAACTTGCAGTGCTTGCTTTGCTTCCTGCAGAGATGTCCCTCTAAGTAGTGCTTCACTTCCAGTGTACGACCTTGGTACCCCAAACCCATCTGACTTGCCACAATGGCTGCTCAGGAATCACCCTCCTGTGCCTGCACAGGAGGAGTGCACCTTTGCTCCTGAAGGGACATGAATGATAACGTCCCCTCCTTTGTCCTTCCACCTTTGGTGGTTCAGCTTCCTTGCTGATTGATGCCCATGGCATGTTTGTGAGCTCCCTGTATGGGCTCAGCTCTACTGTACCCACACTTCATTTTTTTCCATGAGGAGGGGGGAGATTATGTTCATCTCCTGCATAATAAGCTGGTGTCCATGAACTAACCCTGTCTCACTGGGGCCTACCAGGGTCACGGTGGACCAGCTACTTACCCAGCCACCGATTAATTTATTAATTAATGAGATGAATTCACTCTCAGCTGGTGTTGGAATAAGAAGCATTTTTAGCATGTGTTTCGCAAACTGGCGACGTGTCTCAGAAAAGGCAAACTGGGATCAGAGTTGCTCACAGCCTGGGAAGGGTGCCTGTATGGAGGGAGCCTCGGCTCTCCCAGCATCAAGGTCATGCATGAAATATGAGAAATTACCCCGAGAAATTCTGATCCTGGAGGAGGAGGAGTTCATGACTTCAGAAATGCCAGATTTGGGAGGGGATGGAAGGGGAAGGGATATATTTTCCTTTTCAAAATACTTAAGGAATTCAGCCTGTGCTGCATAGACAGTGAGATTTTGCCCCTCGGTGCCAGAAGGGGTAGTTCATACCCGTGTGTCTTGTTAAGGTTTTGTTGCCATGGGTGAAAAGCCCTCCCATTCCACTGCAATCCCAGGCACGTACAGTTTTTAACTCACCCTAAAATCAGGAGAGTGGCTCAAATATAAGGTTTAAAGAAACCACTGCATGTCCTCTATTCTCTCTGATTTCTGTGGCTTTAGGTTGGATTTTGATCACTTTTTCCAGTTGTGAGGGTATATTAAATTAACTTATATGTATGAAAAGTTATTTTTACATATGTTTATATGTATATTTCTGATTTCACATAATTGCATGATTCCTGGAGTGGAGCAGTCTGAGGTTTGTTACAAAACACAGAGGTTGGCAGCTCTGCCACGGCAGCTGCAGGGCGGTGGTACGTGCATGTCTGGGGCTGTTCGGCCCCTCCCTCGGGGGTCCCTCACACCAGTGGGGCTGGCAGGGTGGCCTCTGCCTGCCTGGCATCTGCCACTGATAGGAAACCCTGCTTTCCCTGCAAGAGCATCCTGGCAGCACTGGGGGGAAGGGCAGTGCTGCCTCGGGTATGTCAGATACCTGATGGGTACGATGGAGTGGAATGGGGATTTGGCCTCTGTGCCCAGCGAGCTGTCAGCCTCGGATCCTGTCCTGTGTTTTTTACCCACTCCTGTCCCAGCTGGCAGACAGGGAAGTCATGCAGAGGATTGGGCTGCTCCTGGGGGCCCGGCTAGACTTGGCTGTCCTGCTGGTGGGCTGGTGTGGGATGGGTCTGGATGTCCGGTGGAGATGGCAAATCTGTGTCAGGGAGGGAGGCGGAGGGAAGGGCTCGGTGCAAAGCTTGCTGTGTCCTTTGGCTGCCCAGAGTGGGGCGTGAGCAGCTCAGCCTGCGCTGCACGACCTGCCCAACTCCCACAGTCAACTGGCCTCCTGCAAACAGCAATATTGGAAAGGCGGATTTCTCTGGAGCCCAGGAGCAGGCTTGTTTTCTTCCACTTCTCAGTCTGCCTGCATGGGGCTGTTGTCTACCTGCTCAACAGTTCTCCCTGAAGAACTTGGTGCTTGACCCAAAACCCTGTCCGAGCCCCTAGAGTAGGACACAGTTCCTGCCTGCACCCTTGGTTCTCCAAAGTTCAAGCAGGTGGTGTTGCACTTACTCTCCACTGTGTTAAACCTGGGAGTGGACTGCAGCCTCCTGATGCTGCAGCAGTACAAATAACAACCATTTTACAATGAAAAAAAGGAGATTTTTAATATATGCCTCAAATCTTTCTCCACGTGGATGCTTCCAGTGGTGCCCTTGGATGCTGCAGGCCCCTGCGTTTCTTTTCTGTATGCACATGCAGCAAATGTCCCCCTGTGGGCTGGGGGTCTGCATTGCTGTGACTGCCCCTCGGCCCTGTTTCAGTGGATGTGCTGTCTGTGTGTCTGTCTGCATGTGCCTGGATGGGTGCACATGCGTGGGCCCCAGGCATGCATGTGGAGTGTGCCTGTGAGTGGGAAGCTGGGTTTTTTTAGCTCCTCGTTATTATTAGTGGTAGGAGCCCAGTGACAGTAAGGCTGGAGGTGCCCGAGACCTTAAGAAAAACAACAGGAGGGAGGAGGCTTCGCATTCCTGCTCCTGAATTGAGTCGGAGGTGACAGCCTTTCCCTGCAATGCAATTAATCCCGGCAGTGCCTCTGCCACCCTCCCCCTCCCGCCTCGTCCAGGAATTAATTACTTGATTATAAATTCCCGAGTGGCAGTTTATAATAGCAATAATCCCCTCGAAATTCATTCTTGCTGCCGGTTTCTTTCTATCTCGCCCCCGTCGTTGAGTCTCTAACACCACATCTCTGTGCCAGGCGAAGCCGTTCTCCTCACTCCACTGGCGTCCTGGCTTTTCCCCCAGTAAACATGAAGGGTGAATATTTTGAGTTGTTTTAGAGGGGTGTTTTGGGAAGCCCTGCTCCTGCTCACAGGGATGGCAGTGGATTTCTCGTGGTTGGGAAGCATGCAGGAGCGAGGCGCTGGCACTGATATCTGGGGATAAGGTTTTGTCCCAGATATTCGGTGGATGGCCCAGGCCCAGCCCCAAGGAGTGGGGCTGGGGGCTGGCAGTGTGGCGGGGGGAGGCTCCGTTCCTCCTCACTCTGTCCCTCCAGATTACACTGACGCTGGCTCTGGGGCTTGTCAGGGAGGGCAGGGAAGGGAGAAAGGATTTGGTGTGGCGTATGGGAGCGCGAGGGAGGTGGTGATGTCTCGCAGGAGCCCGCTGGTGATGGGTGATGGGCCTCAAAATGGTGCTGCCTTAGTGGGGGATGAACCTCTCTGTGTCCCCACCACAGTCTCCAGGGCTTGGCCCTGACCCAACCCCACTGACCGGGCTGCAGAAATGTTACTTGAGGTGCTGTCCCCATCCAGGGGACCCAACCCAGCCAATAACACAGCCCAGCATACGCAGCCCCTCTGCCGTTTCCGCCATGGAAATAACCGGGTTTCCAGCTCCACAAACTCCGGGGCTTTCAGCCTGCCAGTGGCATCCTGCTGGGAAAAAGCACCATCCCTCCTGAACCACGTGGGCAGAGCCAGTGTGGGCAGCACTGATGCACACGTGGCCTCTGGGCTCTGACAATGCTGCTTTCCCCTATCTCTGCAGAAGATGCTGATGAAGCAGCAGGACCGCCTGGAAGAGCGGGAGCAGGACATCGAGGAGCAGCTCTACAAGCTGGAATCGGACAAGCGGCTGGTCGAGGTAACCAGTCCTTCACCCTGCTACAGCCAGTCCCGGGGACTGTCACCCTATGGCATAATGGGGACAAACTCCTGGAACACAGGGACCAGGTGGGCAAGGAGGAAGGCAGACATGCAGGGGAGGAGTAGCTGAACAGACTTCCTGCCTCCATTTCAGTGTTGTCAGTCATCATTTTGGGAGACAAAATGTGCTTGGAGCTGCTCTGCGGCCTCATGGGTCCTGGGTTGAGTTGGGATGTGAGGAACAAGGCTGTCCTTAAATATCAGATGGCCTATCCTGTCCTCAGCTCAGCACAGCCTTTCTCAGGAAGGGAGTGCTTATGGTCCTTAAAGCCCTTTGGCCTCCCAGAGCATGAAGGGAAAGGCTCTGGAACATGGAGTATATCCAGCCTGGGGTGGGGTTGGAGATGAGGATGAAGATGGGGATTGGTGGGATTTTTCAGGGGAGCACACTTCTGTTGGTGGTGTGGCAGGTTGTTCCTTGGCATTGGGTCTCTGGAGCTGATCCCCACACAGGCCCCAGGGAGTGCATCCAGGAATCTGCTGATCCAATCAAACCTTCAGTGTCTGTGTTGGGTCTCTGGCACATAGAAGTCCCATGTGGTAGTTGACAGCAGGGTTTGAGGTGTCTGAGCGTTGCAGGAGAGCAGAGCTACTTTCAGTTTGCATCCTTGGGACTCCACTGCAGCTTCGGATCAGCAGAGTGCAGCTTTCAGGTTGCATTTTCCACTGCTGAGAAAGGACCCAGGTGTCCTGGGACATCATGGAAGAGGTCAGAGGGCCTGACCCTGCTCCTCCCCCCAGGAGAAGGTGAGCCAGCTGAAGGATGAGGTGCGCCTGCAGTACGAGAAGATGCACCAGATATTGGATGAGGACCTGAGGAAGACCATGGAGATCCTGGACAAGGCCCAGGCCAAGTTTTGCAACGAGAACGCGGCCCAGGTTCTGCACCTCAATGAGCGCATGCAGGAGGCCAAGAAGCTCCTCAGCTCTGTTCAGGTCATGTTCGACAAAACTGAGGATATCAACTTCATGAAGGTAAGACAAGCTGCCCTTGCCAGGGTGGGATGAGGGGCTGTGGAGAGGTTTGGTTGTGTGAGAAGAATTGGGTAGGTGTGGGGTGTGGTGGGGAGCAGGATGGGGACATTAGCAGGGCTGGCTGATGCCTCCAGAGTGCTCAGCAGTGGAAGAAGTCAAGAAGTGGGGCAGGCTCAGTGCTGGCCTCAAATGAGGAGGTGCCACAGCTGGAGATGGGGCTGGAGCTGCCCATGCAGGGGGAAAGAGGGCTCAGTGCCCATGGTCAGACTGTCCCCTCCCGGGCGGCCATGGAAGCTGGCACTGAAAAGGGGGCATGGCTGCCATGGCAGGGATTTGCCTTACTGACCAGAGCTTCTCCTTCCACTTCTAGAACACCAAGTCTGTGAAAATCTTAATGGACAGGTAAGCACAGCGGGACAGACGTGTTTGGGGGAAAGGGCGTGCTCATGTCCACAGGGGTGGCAGCAGCACAATATCCAGAGGAAGACCAGGGCCAGGGATGCTACAGGGTTTGGGAGAGGCATGTGCCATGCTCAGCTTCTCCCTCTCTCTGGGAGGATGAAAAAATCCCCTCGTGCAGCCATTGAATCAGGTCCTCCCCATGGACTAGGGGAACCTCAGTGTTATGCTTGTGAAAGAGCAGAGGATGGGACCAGCTGGGCTGGGGTACAGGGCTCTGTCCAGCTCCGCTGAGCAGAGACAGGGCAGGGGGTTAAAGCTAGCACTAGCAGAGCAGAGGTGAGCTGGGATGGCCGTGCAGTGGGGACATGGACTGCAGAAGGTGTGCCCTGGCAGGGGATGTTCAAGCAAAACTGGACAGGGAAGGTCCTGCCTGTCAGAGACAGCCAGCTTACTTCTGTCCTCTATCCTAGGGAGGGGGTTTGGCTCCAGGAGGGTGTGGGGGGAGAAGCTGTTCCTCTCCTGAGTCTACCTTGTAACTCATGCCACTCTGCCTGCCATCCCCAACAGGACTCAGAACTGTACAGGTGGCAGCCTGCCTCCACCCAAAATCGGCCACCTCAACTCCAAACTCTTCCTGAATGAGATCGCCAAGAAGGAGAAGCAGCTGAGAAAGTTGCTGGAAGGTGAGTGAAACCTGAGGGGTGCAGGGGTATGGAACCTCACTACATCCTGTATCCATAGCTGGCTGTCCTGCAGATCCCAGTACAAAACGGTGGGGAGAGCTCTTTGGGGCAGGGACCCCTTGGAGCCCCTCTGCAGTCAGCAGGGGTGTGGAGAGCCACAAAGCCAATTCCCTCTCCCCAGCCAGACTCTCCAGAGCATTTTCCTTGTCTTGTGAATTGACTGTGTTCTGGGGTTACACAAAACCCTGAAATGCAGAGCTTTTGGGGAATTGACCATTGCCAGGAAAAGTCAGTGAAAACATGGGGGTCAGCATGTGGGCACTGACAGCCAAGAGCTGGCGGGGTCCTGCAGCCTCCAGCCAATGCCTGGGAGCAAACCACGTCCTGTGAAGGCTTCCTAGTCCTCTCCTTGGGGAATTCGTGTTTATCCCCTAGGCTGTCCCACTCTGCTCCTGTTAGCTGTTAGCTCCTGTTATGTTCGTGAGCTGTTTGCAGAGCAGTGCCCCGGGCTGCTCTGAGCCCACTGGCAAGGGCCCAGAACTGAATCTGCAAGTCCACCTGCACAGGGCTGTGTGTGTGGTTTGCCACTGATGGGGCGGGCTGGGGGACCCTCCACACACGTGGGGCTGGAACGCAGGTCTTTGGGCTCCACTGCTGCTTCACATCAGCAACTGGAGCACCCTGGAGCTGTGCCATGCTGCTCTTAATACAATCCCCCTCTCCTGTTCCCCTCCACAGGTCCTCTGAGCACCCCCGTCCCCTTCCTGCAGAGTATCCCCATGTACCCCTGCACCGTCAGCAACTCCGGCGCGGAGAAGCGCAAGCACTCCACCGCCTTCCCCGAGGGCAGCTTCCTCGAGCCATCGTCCGGGACTGTGGCGAGCCAGTACATGAGCCAGGGCGCTTCGGCTGGCGAGGGGCAGTCCGCACAAGCCATGGTGCCTTGTAGCTCCACACAGCACATAGTTGGACTTCCTAGCGGCCCGCAGCCGGTGCACTCGGGCTCCGTCTTCAACCCATCTCACTACTCCAACACCACGTCATCTCAGCAGTCCGTGCTCTCCCAGTACGGCGGGCGCAAAATCCTCGTCTGCTCCGTGGATAACTGTTACTGTTCCTCGGTGTCCAACCACAGCGGGCACCAGCCCTACCCCCGCTCGGGGCACTTCCCCTGGACAGTCTCGTCGCAGGAGTACTCGCACCCGCTGCCGCCCGCCCCCGCCGTGCCCCAGTCGCTCCCGGGACTTGCCGTGAGGGAATGGATTGACGCATCCCAGCAGCACGGGCGGCAGGATTTCTATAGGGTCTATGGCCAGCCATCGGCCAAACACTACGTCACCAGTTAACCATCACACTCTCCGGAGAGTCCTGTTCGATGACGTGTTCAGAGAGAAAAGTCTGGTTTGGTTTGGCTTTTCTTTGGTTTTTTTTTTTTTCCCCCCTTTTAAATCAAACCCGATTTTTTCCCTGCCTCGTGCCCCTCCAGGATTTTGGGGAGGGTTGTTCTATCATATTTCTTTTTTTTTTTTTTAATCCTTTAAAAATGAAATAATAATTTTTTTCATTTTAATGCCTTTTTTTAATTTAATTTTGGAAGTCCTTCCTGCCCCTCGCTGGGTAAACACGAGGGAGAAATTACCGAGAAGAAATTGATGGGGATTTCAGTCGGACATCTGGGTCTGTGCTTTGTGCTCTTCCTCACTTCTCTCTGCCTTTGGAAAACTTCAGAAGGGACAATGGCACCTTCTCTCTTTCTATTTCTCCGAGTTCATTTTTTCTGGTTTGGTTCAGTTTTTCCCCTTTCCCAACCCCTTTCTTTCCCTTTTTAAAAAGAAAAAAAAAAGAGAAAAAATCTATCATTGATTCAGTATGAAATGATACTTGTAGATTTTGGGTTTGTTACTTTTTTTTTTTAAAGGCTGATTTTTTTTTTTGTGTTACAAGGCCACTTCTCATGCATATTGGCATTTTTTTCCTTCTTTCAGAGATTTGTAAATACACAATGGCAGGAAATTTAATGCACAAAAAAAAAGGGAAAAGAAACTTTACAAAAAACCACAAATAAATAAATAAAAAAAAAAAAAATCTGTTCTAGTTTTCAGGAGGGGAAGCGTGACCGAAACGCACTCCCCTCCTGCATATCGCTGATGCAACTTCCTGTAACAAGCACTTTGTATAAAAAAAAGTGGACTTCCTGCTATAAGGCACAGGTATTTATTCTGTAACCGATTTTAGACATACACACACACACACACACACACACACACACACGCAAAATATTCAAATAAATGTGATCACTTAGTGCAAATGCCTCGCTCTGCTGCAGCTCTTCCCCCGGGAACGCCAGCTCCGGCGGGAGGCTCCAACCTGCTTTTGGAAGGAAACGCTCCCCAGTCCCGCAGGGGCGCGGGCGATTACGGGGGTTTTCCAGAGGGGCTCTTCGGAAGGAGCAGCTCGGCAGTGGGGCGGCAGTGGGGTCCCCACCAGCACCCATCCCATGTCGCAGCCCCGTGGGAAGGCGTGCTGGAGATGTGGCTCTCCACCAGCTCCCTCCCAGGCAGCAAGGATGTGAGTCAGGCACAGAGCCGGCCAGGCCGCATCCTGCCCCTGAGCTCCAGAACAATCCCCATTGTGGGATGGGGACTGGGTTGGGGACAGCAGCTTTCCTGACTCTGCCAGCATCCACCATTCCAGCCATGCTGCTGCCCTGGCACCCAGCACTTGAGCCTTCATCCCCACCTAAAGCCCCACTGCTTCCTGGGGCTTTGTGCATGCTGGCAGCACCCTGGGCTGGTTTAGGGACCCTCTGTGCTCAGTCAAGGCTGGGAAGGGCAAGGAAGAACCCTTTGTCCAGGACATGCAATGGGGCTGTGGGCTGGCCTGGCTGAGGCTGTGCAGGGGCAATCTTTATCTGAGGAAAATGAGGCTGATGTCATAAAGCAGAGCAGCGTCCGAGAGGCAAGAGGGGTTTTCCACTGCTCTCTTTGGGTTCAGCTTGCTTTATTTTTTTCTTGGTTGCAAAACATCCTTAGTTTAGTTCCAGTTTGGATTCCCCCTGTGCCATTTTAGTGGGAACTGGGAAGGGGAGAAAGTCTCAGTGAGCTGAAGCAGGGGAACAGTGGGTTCGAGGGAGGGAGACCCTCTCACTAACCCCCCATTCCATTCCAGCAGAGGTGGAAGCACAACCTTGGACAACTTCCCAGGCAGTGTTGGGTTGGGGAACCAGCACCTCCTGCCCCTACATGTTCTTTTACACCCAGGCCACAGAGCCTGGCACCTCAGCCCTGCTGTCCTGCTGAGTTCTTCCCAACTCTGTCCTGCTCAGGCTCTTCAGGAAACCCCCAGTTCATTGGGATATTTGGAGGTTTGCTTCTCAGTCAAAAGCAAAGCACTCCAGTGTGGCAGGCGGGAGCAGGATGCTCTCTACCTCACAGGGATCCCATGATCTCTCCCCTCCATGTTCACAGGGCTGGCTGCTGGGGGGTAAAGAAGAGCCCCGGGGTGATGGGGATACCGGAGACATGAGTAACGTCCCTCCCTGTGGAGGAGGGTCCCCGATGCACAGCCCGGGCCACCCCCACCCCAGGGTACTCCCCAGCCATGGCCCCTATGTTTGGTGCCTCTAGGTTTGACTTCCCAACTGTACTCCTCCTCCTCATCATCTTCCTCCTTGGCACAGCTGCCTTCTCCTGTGACAGCAGCAGCTGCCAGCCCGGGCATTAAAGCACCTGTCACCACCAACTGATGGGGGGACACAGGCACAGCCCCCACCCTGCAGGGTGACCCCCAAAGATTAGGACTCTCCCCACCATGGGCCACTCTCACTCCATGTTTTCACTGGAGGGACCAGCCCCAAAGGAGTGGATGCCCATGCAGAGCAGAGGGGCCACAGCCCCTCCCTTGCCCCCCCATCCAGGAAGAATCCCCTGGTGGTCCTGGGTGCCCCAGCTTCCAGGACCACCAGTGCCATCCAGCCCCACGTGCTGCTGGTGGTGAGGAGGAAAGCAATGGCCCCATGGGGTCACCTCATGGAGCAGGAGGAGGAATGTGTGCCCATGGCCCTGTTGGGATATTGGTGTCTTGGGAGGGGAAGCGCTGATGCTCGGGTGCACAGCGAGGTTTTATTGATGGATGGCTCTGTCCGGGGGATGGGGAGAGCAGGGGGAGAGAGGCACATCCATAAACAGCTCGAGTTGTGAATGGAAAGAGACGGATTAGGAGCCAGGTGAAAACATGTCACACGGCGGAAAGAAAAATGAGCAGCTGGGCCAGACCAAATTGGTGTCTGATGAAGGACGTGGGGCCTGGTGGAAAAAGGATCCTGGGGCTGGCGGTGCTGCACGGGGGAGGCTGATGGGGAACAGCTGGAGCTGGACACGCACATCTGGTGGAGCAGGGTGAGGGGAGAGGCAATGGCTGCTGTAACCACTGTGCCACTGGCCACTGCACTCAGGGCACAGGGCTGTGGCTCAGCCCTTGGACCGGCACGGCAAGAGGGGCTGATGATTCAATTTCAGGGTGATCCTGGGAAAGGGAGCACAGCCCCATGGCCCAGCCCTCATCAGGGATTTACCTGGTGGGGTTCAGACTCTCCTGTGCCAAGGGGTCCCCAGGTAGAGGAGCCACTGCCTCTTCCCCCATTTGCATACATGTAAATAAGCAATCAACATAATGAGTGTGAATGCAAACCAGGCTTTCAGTTTGCAACCAAGTCCTATTTTTAACCTTGGAAAAGGGTTTCAGCAGGAAGCTGCAGGTCCTGTCCTGGTATCCCTCAGCACATCCGTCCATGTGGGTGCTCATGCTGATCCTTCACCCCAAACAGCCACCACTGGGTCAGTGCCTGTTGCACTCTGTTCCCATTACCAAAGCAAACAGAAATCCCACATCTTTGTGGAAAGCTGGACCACACCACATCACACCCTGCCTTGCAGGAGCCTTTTCAGGCAGCTCTCCCACCCACTGAGCCCCAGGTCCTGCTTCCAGCCAGGGCGTGCACCCCAGGAATGCCCTCGGCACCTTGGGAGTGAAAGCCCCATGCTTAAACATGAGGGTATATTTAGACAGTGTCAATTTAAGTTTGCACATCAACCTTATAAATATGAAAGCCCATCTCCATGAGATGTTTAAGATAACTCATCAGCCCTTGGAAAATATGCAGGAATATTAATTAGCCAGATTTGGGTATTATCTCATAATGAATAAATTAAGAGACTCGCTGCCTAAGATGAACCACTGGTGTTCCATTGGGTTTTGTTGCTTTCTTTTAAGAAAAGTGTGTTTCTAAGATAATTCACTCATTTTAACCCAGGCTGGCACTGAGGCTCAGAGGATGCAGCCATGCCAGGGCCAACCAGGGTGGGACACAGCAGACTACTCCTTTCCTGAAGGGACCCTAAAAGCTGCTGTTTTACACCCCCTGGTTTGGCCCCAGCTGGCTGCATTGCCTCTGGACACAGAGGGACAAGGACAGGGTTAGAATCCTGCCCCAGCTGCAGCAGCACTAGGCCCAAGATGGAGGCAGAAAATGCAGCTCATTTCTCAAAAAACTTATTTTTGCTTCTTCCCTTCCTGCCCTCAATCCTCACCTCCTGCCCTCCTGCTCTGTTCCCCTGGCTGCTTCACTCCCTCCAGCTGGGCCAGGATAGGAACTTCCCAGTTGCTGTAGAAACCCAGATGAAGGACACACTTCAAACAAAAATGCCAAACAAGAAATGGCTTTGTGTGCGCCCGGATGGCCGCTTTTCCTTGCCAGGATGCGGTGGCTTTGAGGCCCTTCTCTGGGGCACCCTGTGTGGTCGGGGAGGGCTGTAGGGACAGGCTCCCTCACAGCCCCAAAAGTTTGTGTTAAGCAGTGAACAGAGGCTGGGGGTCACTGGAGATTGCACTTCAAAGGTGTCCATCACCCATGGAATGCTGCAGTGCAGTTACTGGGGTTTTGACATCCCTGCCAGCTCTAGCACCATCTCCCCCTCTGATCTTACAGCTAAGACACCCCTGGGACACCAAGGGACACCACCACCTGATTTGCAAGATTTTGGGGTGGTGGAGCAGTTTCCAGCTGGTGGGAAGAGCCTCGGGGCTGAGAAGGGGACAGCCGGGCAGAGGATGCGGACACCAGCACAAGCCTCAAGGTGCAGGTTGGAATGGCCTAGGCGGTGGGCCAGGAGGCAGAGCCATGTCCCGTGGGCACAGGGAAGTGTTATGGAGGAGCAGGGTCGGGATGGACCAGCCAGCAGCGGCTGTGGGCCGGAGCCGTGCCGGGCTGGGCCGGAGCCGTGCCGGGCTGGGCCGGAGCCGTGCCGGGCCCCCCCGGCGCGTGGCGGCTGGCGGGGCCGGGGCGGCGCGTGGGTGCGGGGCGCTGCCGGCTGCCGGAGCTGCCATTGTTTGCCTTCAATCAAGATGTTTCAGGCAGAATCAAAAGCACCAACTGGGGAAATCATCATCACAAAAAATCTTGCGCCTGCAAAATAGGTCAAGTAAGACTCCAAAGAGAGAGAGCGTCTGATCTGCATTGCAAGGAAGAATAGCAACAGCTGTGATCTCCAGTATATATGGATGGGCTGGGGGGGGATAAATATATATATCCATGCATATGTATAACCGCTTACAGCTGTTGGGCCGTATGTTCATTAGGGCCAACTGTTTTGGAGGCAGAGGGATCAGCGCTAATCGGGAAAGGGAGTTTATCATCACATTCAGAGGCAAAAGTGTCAGGAGCAACTGCGGCCCCCCCGCCCCGCAGCCCACACCAGCTGTGCCGCCTGAATGCACCCAATTCAGAGCCCCTCCCAACCCCCCCGGGCTGTGAGAGCTGCGGCTCCTGCCCCAGCTCCCAAAGCAGCCGCCAGCCAGGCCCAGCTCTCTGCCCAGTCCCAGGCCCAAGCGCTGTCCCCAGGTGCAGAGGGGTTGCCGCGCCTGTTTCCCCATTCCCCAGACCAGCTCTGCAAGCACACGCCACCGACCCGGCCCCTTCGCTTATCCCTTCCTGTCTCTGGCCTCACAGGTGCCAGCTATAAAAATGAACCCAAAATACATATAAATCCTCCTGTCTGACATCAGGGAGGGTGATGGAGCCAGGGCAGGACAGCTGGCTCAGCCACCCCAAGACGCTGGGCTTTGTCTGGTCAGTTGGGACCCAGCTGTCGCAGGCTGGGGACAGCAGTGTCCCAGCCCACAATGATGCTCTCGGCAGGGGGGATCCACTGTCTCCAACAGTGTCCCCCCTCGGCACCCAATCTCCTGCCCGAGAAGCATTAAAGCTTGCAGGCTGTGGCTCCTATTGGTAGCATAAATGTTGCGAAGCCA